ATGGTTCAACTGCGCCAACTATTCTGTACAGTCGGTAAAATCATTAACAACGCGCATGCGCAAGCGCTAAATTAAAAATCTATTTTCTCATGTAAAATATTGTTACACTCGAAAATATTTTTTTCTTGGAGCGTTAAGTTGCAAATAAGAAATAATAAAAAAAAAAATAGTTAATCGACAGAAAAATCTGGAAAAAAAACAGTATGTAGAATATTCCCTAAAAGTCTACAATGACACAATGGTTACTCCGTTTATTTTACAGGTCAGTTCGCTAGTGTAGCGACTTCGTATTAGGTTGGTGCAAAAATAATTTCGTTTTCTAACATATGTTACTATTTGAGAAAACGAAATTATTTTTGCACCAACCTAATATTTTCACGAGGTAAGCTTAATTTTATTTCAACACTAAAAATATTTAGGATACATGATTTAATTTCATTATTATTTCATGCATTTGATAAATATTCCTATATTTAAGTAATATTGTTAAATATTCTTTTGTTGGATTTTATTTTTCATGTCTTTTCAGGGCGTAGTTATGATTCCACAGCTTTGTCTTTTTTTGCTCATAGATGTTTTCCCACTTTACAATACATCCTAGAATCAGTTTTACCATAGATTCATTCACATTAATCCTTTTAATTTGGTTACTCGCTATTCTCTTATATCGTTAATGTTGCTCAATTGTTAAATTCTCTTAACTCTTTTTACAATATCTCAAATATCAAGTTTCAGATTTTAAGTACACGTCTGTTGTTTCTCTTTTCACGTGATCGGTCCATTGAATTTTCAACATTCATTAGCGCAAACCACATCTGTGATTCAAACCACTTCTTTATAATTGAGGAAATTGTACACCATTCACGGCAATATAAAAGTTATTCTATTGTGTAGAGGTTCAGCACGTAACTTGGGTTCTTATATTTACAAATGATTTTATAATTGAGTTTTGCGACTCGTTTAAAATAATGCCGGAATAGACTTTGCATTGAGTATCCGTCAGAAGAACTTCCGGCGTTCTTGATGAATGATCTTTTAGATTTGATTAAGATCAGTTTTAGTGGCTGCCACATGTGGACGAGTGTTTGGCTCAGGTGTCAATCTGGGATGTACTTCCTTAGAAAAAGTAAACAAAATAATTATGATATATAAAATATTCACACAACAGAGAACTAAATTCTTATATCACAGGTAATTTTAAGGCAGTTCTTCAACTTTGACGTGAAATTTCGCTTCCGTTTCCTTATTTCTAATACTACTCCTCGCTCACCTCACTCAAGATGAAGAAGCCCAGGAGGAGAAAGGAAAAACACATCGACTACATAACGATCAACAAGAGATTCAGAAATGCAGTTATACACTGCAAAACCTATCCATGTACCGACTGAGGAAGCGTTCACCTCCGATTATTAGGTGAACGTAGAGTGAAGCTACGGAAATTGAGGGGGGCTAAGGCAGCACCTAAATTGCAATACGGCACTCTTGGGCCACTCGTATCTGAAGGAGAAATATATGGACAGTAGGAAAAGGAGATAATAGGGACAAAATGGGAACTCGATGTGAGACACATTAAGAGAAGCTTTACTAACATCAACTACCGAGATCATCCCGAAGGAAAATAGACGAAAAAAGAATGGATGACATGAAATTCTCGACATGATGAAATGAGAGGAAAAAAACAACATTGCCATGACAGGGGGGAAAAAAAGACACCGCCCAAAGAAAACGCGAACAAATACATGCAGACGAAAGAGGAATGGCTCAACGAAAAATTTGCAGAAATAAAAAGAATGGTTATCATAAAAAGTAAGAGGACTAAAAGGGAAAATGGCATGCTCATTAACAGGATGCATAACATCCAAGGACAGAACGCTGATATTAGAGAAAGACAAATGCTTCAGATATGGAAGAAATAGATCTGATAACTTTTCCAGGAGGGATGAGAACAACTGACAATACACAGAAATATCGAGGAACCGGAGATATTGAAAACCGAAGTGGAAACATCACTAACCAAATTTAACAGAAACAAAGAGACAGTAGAAGACGGAATTGTAATAGATGCCGGCAGCCTTAGATGATTTCGGCGTAGACAAGTTTGTAAATCTAATGACATAAAAAGTAGTTCTATACCGGAAGAATAATTGTCGATTTGTCTTCAAAATGCCGCCTCGGAAGCCAGATGCAAACTAAGGTGAACTCAATCAGCCTAATTGGCCACATAACAAGACTTATCCAAATTCTGATGAATAAAGCTGCAGCAGAATTAAACTGAAAATACAAGAACAGTGCGGGTTCGTCAAAGACACTGGAACAAGTTACGCGATATTTATGCTCGGAATCCTGTTAGAAAGAACAATGCAAAAGCAAAAGTATGTTTATCTGTGTTTTCTAGATTACGAAAAGGCGTTCGATATGTTATGCTACAAATGTGTTGGAATTGCTCAGGAAACTTAACATATTTTGGAATTATATTAAAATAATCAAGAAGCTATATTGGATTTAAACTTTCTGTATGCCGATAGAAAATGAATTCAGCAAATATACGAAAATGAAAAAGGGGTGTAAGACAAGGATACGTTCTCACTGGACTTATTCAACCTAAACAGCGTGGCAGTTCTGAACGAATTAGACGTCCTGCAAGGATTCATTATTGGAGGTCACAATATTAGCATCATAAGATATGCTGCTGACTGCAGACACGAAAGTAAACAACAAAAGCTCCTACAGAAATTGGTGGAGGAAAACGAGAAGAAAGGGATAAACATAAATTGCAAGACGGCCGAAATGTTTGGATTTTAACGAAATGTTCAGCTTAAATTACATATTAGAAGTACCAAATTCAAACAAGCAGGAAAATTTAAATACCTGGAATTATTCTGGTAGTGGACGGAAAGTGTGACACTGAAATCCGAAGACACATTGGAATAGCCAAAGATGCATTCCATACATAAGCATTAAGAAACAGAAAAATCGTCGTTAGAAACAAACAAAAGAATACTGAACTGTCTATCGTCCTATATGGCAGTATCCTCAGAGTAACTTGAAGCAACATAAATATGGTTCTACAGAAGGATGCTGAAAAAAAACACTGAACAAAGGGCGAGGTGTTAGAAAAAATGGAAGGGAAATGAAAACCTAACATCAGGAAAAGTCAGTTCAAACTTCTGATTATGCATAATGAGGAACGAGTTTGGAAAATTTGATACGCACAGGACAGATTGAGGGCAAAAGGGATAAATAAAAACAACGCACAACTTATTTAATGAGATTCACTAAATAGATGACAGAACAGAATTTAGAATAAATTCCCCAAAGACAATTTATTAAGAGCTACAAAAAAAAAATTATGGAGAGCCATATCCTGAGGTCACACGGCATATAAAGATTCAATGTCCACGTTCGGGAAGAGCGCTGCTTTTGCCCACACCTCGTCTGAGTCACTGTGGAAGTCAGGAGTTGAATAAAAGATGAGGTCGTTCTTGAGAAAAAAAGAAATGGTGTTTACATTAGTGATTTACGATGATAACAGTACAATCATTTACTTCGTTTCTGGTCTAATTAAAGCTGGAATAAAACTTTTAAAGAAAGCTTTGTCATACAAATATTCTGGCAATCGGAAACAACCATGAGCAATATTCCAAATATTCAACTAATTAGGAGAACACTTAGATGAATAATCGTTCGAGAAGTGGTCAAGCTCAATGACAATTAACCCGAGTATACCTATGGCCTTCGAATGTTATTGATTTCTGTTTTTGCATATCTTTTTTTTTTTTTTTTTCTTTCCAAGATGTGAATACCGTTTATATTCCTGGAACTTGGCTTGAAATTAGCTGCAGCTGTCGGAATATACATTTTTAAAATGACAAGTTGATTAGTTTAGAAAATGAGATTCTTCGCAAATAGCTCTTCGCCGGAAATCGATGTGTTGAAACATTTGATGGATACAATGAAGTTAACTTAAAAGCCGAAAAAACTAGACAGATGAGGATAGGTAGGAAAGAGAGAAGTTGATATATCAAGACATGGGCATAGAAAAATAAAGATGTTATGACGATTTAGGAACTCTCTGGTTGCAGAGAAAGTAACAAGACTTTCCCTCGCGGCTCGGGTCTGGGATCGAGGGCAAAGAAAATATAAAGTTGATTTTCAAGCCATAAATTCATTATAGAAAGAAAACGGTATATATATATATATATATATATATATATATATATATATATATATATAGGTTAAGTTAAGCATAAATAATTTCAGAAGTATGAGAAATGAAATGTTAGCTAGGATAACACTAAAGAGTCGGAAATAACAACGCAAAAAAATTTCTTATTGTCGTGCCAATGACAATCGGGAAACTAGATTTCTTATTGAACATATATTATTTAAATTTTAGATTTCTTCAGTTCTACTCTGCTAGTGTGTGAGAGAGAGAGAGCGTGCCAACAGTCCTCCTCTGGGATTGGACCCACATTCTCACCTGCGATGTATCACAAAACGCTGATAGCAGTTTTTATATAACTGCCTGTAATATGGTCCCTTGCCCCGTTTACAACTCCAGTGTCGATCATGTGCGTGTCTATTCTGCGGCTCGGAAGACATTTTAATTTAGCAAGTGCTTTCTTTTATGGTCTGGTGTCGCATTGGTTGCAAATCTATCCTGACATGACCATCGGTAAGAGATCTAGTGCACTCAGGTCAATGAAAAATTAGTATTCGTTGATTCATGGATGCTTAGAAAAATAAAAGAACACCGAATTAATCTACCAGCTTATCACAAAAAAGTCTAATGGAAAGATAATAACGTCAAAATGAAATAGAAAGGATTGAATAATTGGTGTCGTTTTTATTTATATACCCTGTTCTTTCAGGGCATGTCTGATTAAGCTTCTCCACAAATTCTTGTCTTCTGCGAATTCAAGTTAGATTTGACCACTTACTACCATTATTTTGCCTCAGCTCTTTTCATTTTAATCAAAATTCTTAAAGGTTGAGGAAAATATCAGTTTGAAACACCGGTTTCCGTACGATCCCCAAAGTTAAGCAACGTTGAGTTTGGTCAGTATGTAGTTGGTGATCGCTTGGAAATGCCAGCTGCTGTCGGCTTGTATGTGCGGGTTGTGTAATGGATAACGGCTCGGAATTTTAAATCGCGGATCCGTGTTCTAATTCCGGTCGAGTTCGGTACATTCACTTGCGCGAAAATAACCTGATGAAAGTTATGAATCAACCACCTCACCCCACCAGCTGTGGGTTAATAAGTAAAAATTGAATCGCTAAATTATTATCTAAAACAGAAACAACTTAATATCTAAAATATTTTTTTATCTTTAAATAACATGCAGATGTTGAAACGTAAAATCAAACTCGGTAAGCATGTTATTTCAATGTATCATGGGGGTGTTAAACTCTCTTGGTCGTTTTTCCACATTTCTAAATCCTTTTTTCTAACTCTCTATAAATTTCCTTGTTGTTCCTCTATACTTTAATACATATTTGTTATATGCCTGTTCTGTCCAAGGATATTCTTAGCTTTCTTTAGTACAATATCTCTGTAGTTTCATATCTTAGGAAATTATCCCACATGCACTCTCATGTATAGATAGCAATTCGACTTTCTTTTTTTGTTTCGAAATACATTTTCTTATCTATTAATATTTATTTTAGTTTCTAGAGGATAGCTTTCGATATTCCAATTCGACTTGTGCTTTCTGTATCAGACTTTCAGCCGACTGTTACGTTACTACTCTGATGGATGTATTAGTGCAAACAAAATAAACTATAAACTGAACCTTCGGAAAAAAGTCATGCGTTTAAGGTGAAAGAATAGACGAAAAAAAAAATATAGAAGCGAGATGGAATTGTCACTATACCTGTGGGAAAAGTTACATTTATGTTTGATTATAATTTTAGACAAACTTTTTCAAACATCGTATTTTTATTTTCATAACAAAATTAAGATTTGAGTGAACAGCAGTAATCCTGCTAATGGTATTTCAGTAAAATTTCAGGATGACATACCTATATTCATTTTTTAGAACATAGTCCCCAATTAATTACAATCTGTGATCTTTACGAGAGCTCGAAAAATATATATATATATATATATATATATATATATATATATATATACTATAGTGTAAGGCACGGGATGTTTTTTCCTGCGGTGCCGGGCACGGGATGTTTTTCTGCGTGTGCAATAATGACTCACCTCCCCTCCTATTTCTTCTAGCTCTCTAACAATTTCTGTCTCTCCGCCAAGCATATCTCCCCACGTTTCATTTTCCATTGACACAAGGCAGTCAGGTAGGCAGAACTCTGCCTACCCTATTTCTCTGAAGTAAAAATCTATTCACATGATAGAACCAGTGGCTTGTTGCCTAATGTATCGGTGTTGAGATCCTTCGACGATTTTTACACATTCTTAATTTACAAATATAGCTTCCGGATAAATGTCTTCCTCTACAAGCCTGGGCATTTATTCTTAATACTTGTATTATCTTGATAAAATCCTAAAATCATAATGTGCTTGTTCGTAGGAATACCAGGCGTTCAATCACTCGAATGTCATGAGGTTTTGATGAAAATTCTAAATGTGCTTTTGTTTTCCATACAGAGACCATTAATAGTTTTAATCATATCGTTCAAACTCAATGGATTTTGTGCTAATAATGCGATCATCAGGGATATTGCGAATGATCCCGATCTTAGGCTGACCCCAGATATCGGTGAGATCAAATAAATGGAGTAAAATGTCGGTTCATGGCTGAGCAGCCTTTGTTATACTCGTCTCTCGATGTGTCGTTTATTTCGTTCAAACGAGCGAGATCGTCTTCGGTTCCGACCCAAAGAGAAGTCCTGCTGCTTTGATTTCTCGGCAACAGCCTCATTTAGCAAACTTCTAACTTGAATGACCGTTGAAACGCGATTTCGTGAAATATGGTACCAAAAATAATTAAATTCGAAAGCCTATAAATCTTTGATGAAAGAGAAGCGCTAAATACGAGCGGAAGTTTCATTTTTATCTCCTTAACCTCTTCATAGCGTTCACATGGTCAGAATATTTATGATTAATTTGCTTTTGTTTATACGCCATATTTCTAGGCTAGTAGTAACCTGTGAAACTTAGCTTACAGAAATTCTCCTCAATATTTAAACACTCTAAACATAATACCAACTCTTCGGTGTGCTGTCCGCTGCATAGTTCAAATCCCCGGATTTACAGTTCTTCGAACTTTGTCTCCGTGAGAGGTTAGAGTATTAATTATAATGTTAGTCCTTTCCTTACATGGAAACGTTCAACAACATTCTTTGACCGAACAGGCATTACTACTGTCGGTTGCATTTATAAAATCATTTTTATTAAAACACGCTTTCTAGGATGTACGCAACACATGTCCACTATTTGTTATTGCTCCTTCAAGTATTTAAAGGAGCTTCATTCTAAACATTTGCTGTCATTATTTCCTTTTCGATTTACATGTGATATGCATTTTATCTACTGCTTAAAGATTTCAAGTGATTTGTTTTCTCTTATTTGGTAATGTTCTTTGTTTGATTCTGCAGCATAAATCCGACATGCTCAAATAAAACTTCCTGCTACCTCCGTGACCGAATATCTACAAGTTTCATTAATGATGGTCATAAACACCGTCTCCATATTCAATTCTCTGACATACTTAAAATATTTTCCAGATTGTCACTTTTTTAATTCGTTTTTTTTGGGATCTACAATCTTTCTTCCCGTTTATTCTTATTTCTAATAGGATCTGGTAATTTCACTTGATTTCAGGGTTTTCCTTGAATTTAAAAATATAGATTTTTTTTTTTTGCTTTTATGCAACTAGTTGCAGGTATAATATATTTGCGTTGAGCCTGATGAGATTCTTTTTTTCTACCTGATCAAATAAGTTATTTTTGTGATCACCTGTTTTGTCTTGTATAAAACATTTCCCTCTTATGGCTATTTATAGTTAATATTGCCACAACAGAAGAATATATCTTTTTTTGCTATAAAATATATCAATTTAATAGACTTTACATTTCCACATTTACCAAGAATATTCAAAAGTATGTTTGATAATTTTTGAGTACTGATTCCGATAAAAATAACATTTTATCAGGATAAATTTTGTATATTTATTCTAATATTTACGAGATAAATTTACTTCTAAAATTTCTGAAAATTATTCATTTGTAATATCTGAAGTAGATCGGTTTGTAAAATTTCTGGCGTATTTCTAAGATTACCAAGAGAAATAGATTTCTTAAGGCTTAGAGTGAATGTTATGATTATATACCTATATGATCTTATAAAACATGTACAACCATCTCTTGCACGAATATAATCCTTTAATATTACAGCCAAAATGCTTTTTCCAAAGTTACAATATGAAACAATCTTCAGTCGATAAAAAATGGCGATAGACAATTTAAATATCTTACAGACAATCAAATACTTTGTGGATTATTTTACTGATCCATGTTTCTATTTTGCCTGAATAAAATTGTGCCAATAAATGCATTGGTTCGAAATGGTTTTGAGAAAAACCTTCCTCTCAGGATATAGCGAAGTATTTTAGCATAAAGCATTTATAATATGGTCAAATACACATTTGTCTTTGTGGCTTCAGAATATGTTGTTCAGTTGATTTGCAAATATTTACGCTATTCTATTATCCAAACGGAAACTGCTACCTATGAGACGGATATAATGCAAGCAGACACACCTAATTTCTCCCATTCCTCAAGCGAAGAAAAGTATACTTCTGATTTCTGCTTAGAGGCTAGACATACATCTTCAGAAATAAAGCACAAGAAAAAATCACAGCTGCAGATTCCTGCTTACAGCCGAAACTTAACACTACGACATGGTTTTAAACGCAGTAACGCTGTCTTTACCAACATCATACAACTACGAACTACATATACCATCTGTGTATATGTAAGCATATATATATATATATATATATATATATATATATATATATATATATATATATATATATTTGTTTCTTTCTTTTTTTTATTCTATTTTGTTTTATTTCCCCTAGCAATCGATACTAAATAATTTCGATAATATCAATTCAGCTGTATTTACTCGTCACGCAGATTAGACGTGGCATAAGACCTGTATTTAAATGAGAATATTTATACGTATTTTTAGCAGGTGGATGCTAAAGTATTCTTGTTCTATCAGTAAAAAGCCCCAGGAATAAAGACCTGTTCACCAACTCGTTATGGATGCGTGGTGGTGTAAAGGATAGCGGCTGGGAACAAGAAATTGGAAAGCAGTTCTAATTCCAGCAGATATCGTTACATTCACTTACGTGCAATTACCCTTGGAAAATGTATAAACAATGTTGTCTACATATCCCCAGCTATGGTAAACAGCAAGGATTTAGCCTTTAGATGGAAATTAATCTACAAGAAAAATTTTATTCAAACTAGCCTTGATAATGTTTTGCTATCTTGTTAAAGACACACCATAGCTGCAGAGCATGTGGTGTCTCAACCACCTTAATGTATGGCAGTCGGTATCACTGACTCTACCCGAGGTAGTGATTGTCTTCGGCAGAACCACCCAAAATGTAGTTGATCATGAAATATCAGGTGAGAATCTTATTTAATATAAATAAGTAATTTTTCTTCCAAGCAAGGTTGATCCGATTTGGGCCCCACTCTATCATGGTTACCGGAAGTGATACCAAAGTAGGTTTTACACTCGGTGTCACACCACATCAAAAGAGCCAGCTGCTGACCTGGAAAGCATTTTCGGAGCTACTAGATCCAGAAACTGGTCACTATGCATGTCAGTGGCAATCGCGTAATGTAAACAGCTGGACGCCTTAAGTGACCAAAGTTTGCGCACATTAAGTAATATCAAATATCATTCACATTGTCACCTCACCTGATAGGGAAATTAGAGATTGTTCCTTTCATCAAGACTATACTAACATTTCAATGAAGTTTCTAAAGTTACACGCGCTTGGGTCATCATTATTTTAAGAACTCCAGAATTAATGAAACAATAATTTTGTGTCCAGAGTCTTGTATTCTTGATAATCGTTACATCAATAAATTTGCACCAGGCATCGATGAGTA